AACAAAATGGCAATAAGTACATATTTATCAATAGCTACTTTAAAAGTCAATGGACTAAATGCTCCAACTAAAAGGCATAGGGTGGCAAATTGGATAAAAAACCAAGACCCATATACAGGCTGCATACAAGAGACACACTTCAGACCTAGAGACTCTAACAAACTGAAAGTAAAGGGATAGAAAAAGACACTCCATGCAAATGGCAAAGAAAAGAAAGCTGGAGTAGCAATACTTATATTAGACAAAATAGACTTTAAAACAAAAACTGTAACAAGAGACAAAGAAGGGCACCACATAACGATAAACAGAACAATCCAACAAAAGTATATAATACTTGTAAATATCTATGCACCCAACATAGGAGCACCTAAATATATAAAGCAATTATTAACAGACATAAAAGGATAAATAGATAGTAACACAATAATAGTAGAGGACTTTAACACTCCACTTACACCAATGGATGTGTCATCCAAACAGAAGATCAGTAAGGAAACATTGGCCTTAAATGACCCATTAGACTGGATAGACTTAGTAGATATAAACAGAACATTCCATCCCAAAATCTCAGAATACACATTTCAAATGCACATGGAAAATTCTCCAGGATTGATCACATATTAGGCCAAAAAACAAGTCTTAATAAATTTAAGAAGATTGAAATAATACCAACCATCTTTTCTGATGACAAAGGTATGAAACTAGAAATCAACTACAGGAAGAAAGTCAAATAAGCCACAAAAATGTGGATATTAAACAAAATGCTACTGAACAATGATTGTGTCAATGAAGAAATCAAAAGAGAAATCAAAAATTACCTGGAGACAAATGAAAATGAAAATACGACATGCCAAAATCTAGGGGATACAGCAAAAGTGGTGTTAAGAGGGAAATTTATAGCAATACAGGCCTACCTCAACAAACAAGAAAAATCCAAAATAAACAATCTAACAGTACACCTAAAGAAAGTAGAGACTAAAAAAAAAATAGAAAAAGTCAATGAAACCAAGAGCTGATTCTTTGAAAAAATAAGCAAAACTGACAAACCTTTAACTAGACTCACCAAGAAAAAAAGAGAGAAGCCTCAAATAAATCAAATCAGAAATTAAAGAAGAAGGAAGGGAATAGTATTGGAAGTCTTAGCCAGAGCAATCAGGCAAGAACAAGAAATAAAAGAGATCTAAATTTGAAAAGTAGAAGCAAAACTGCCACTATTTGCAGATGACATGATTTTGTATTTGGAAAACCCTAAAACATCCACCAAAAACCTTTTAGAACTAATAAGTTAATATAGTCAAGTTGCAGGACACAAAATCAACATACAAAATTCAGTTGCATTTTTATACACTAACAACAAAGCAGCAGAAAGAGAAATTAAGAATACAATCCCATTTACAATTACAACAAAAGGAATAAAATATCTAGGAATAAACTTAACCAAAGAGGTGAAAGATCTGTACACTAAAAACTATAAAACATTGTCAAAAGAAATTGAAGAAGAAACAAAGAAATGGAAAGGTATTCTGTGCTCTTGGATCGGAAGAATTAACATAGCTAAAATATCCATACTTCCTAAAGCAATCTACAGATTCAATACAATCCTTATCAAAGTTCCAAAAACATTTTTCGCAGAAATAAAACAAAGAATCCTAGAACTTATATAGAGCAACAAATGACCCCAAATAGGCAAAGGATTCCTGATAAAAAAAGAACAAAGCTGGAGATATCACACTCCCTGGTTTAAAAATATACTACAAAGCTATAGTAACCAAACAGCACGGTACTGGCACAAAAACAGACACATAGATCAATGGAACAGAATCGAAATCCCAGAGGTAAACCCACACATCTATGGACAGCTAATTTTCAACCAGGGAGCTAAGAACGTACATGGAGAAAGGAGAGTGTCTTCAATAAATGGTGTTGGGAAAACAGGACAGCCACATGCAAAAGAACGAAAGCAGACAATTATCTTACACCATACACAAAAACTAACCCAAAATGGATTAAAGACTTGAATGTAAGACCTGAAATCATTAAATTTCTAGAGGACAACATGGGCAATACACTCTCCAACATTGGTCTTAGTGGCATATTTGCAAGTACCATGCCTGACCTAGCAAGGGAAACAACAGAAAAAATAAACAAATGGGACTACGTCAAACTAAAAAGCTTCTGCATAGCAAAGGAAACCATCAACAAGAAGAAAAGACAACCTAACAATTGGGAGAAGACATTTGGAAGCCACTTATCTGATAAGGTGTTAATATCCAAAATATACAAAGAACTCATACATCTCAACAACAAAAAAAACTAACCAGGCACTTAAAAAGTGAGCAAAAGATCTGAACAGAGATTTCTCCAAAGAAGATATATAGATGGCCAACAGGCACATGAAAGGATGTTCAACATCATTAACTATCAGGGAAATGCAAATCAAAACTACAATGAGATATCGCGTCACTCCCGTCAGAATGACTATAGTTAACAAGAGAGGAAACAATAAGTGTTGGAGAGGATGTGGAGAGGATGTGGAGAGGAGGGAACCCTCGTGTACTGCTTGTAGGAGTGTAACCTGGTGCAGCCACTATGGAAAGCAGCATGGAGATTCCCCAAAAGATTAAGAATAGATCTACCATATGATCCAGCTATTCCATTGCTAGGTATTTTTCCAAAGAACATGAAAACACAAATGCATAAAGACACATGGACCCCTGTGTTCATCGCAGCATTATTCACAATAACCAAGACTTGGAAGCAACCTAAATGCCTATCAAGGGACAAGTGGATAAAGAAGATGTGGTGTGTACACAATGGAATACTGCTCAGCCATAAGAAATGATGAAATCCTGCCATTTGTGACATGGATGGACCTTGAGGGTATCATGCTAAGTGAAATACGTCAGAGGGAGAAAGTCTGGTACCATAAGATCTCACTCATAAGTAGAAGATAAAAATGACAAACAAAAGCAGAAGCAGAGATTGGATTGGTGGTATCAGAGGGGAAGGGGGAAGGGAGGACGGAAAAAGGGGTGATTAGGCACGTGTGTGCTGATGGATGGTAATTAGTCTTTGGGTGGTGAACATGATGTCATCTACACAGAAATCAAAATATATAACGAGGTACACCTGAAATTTATATAATGTTATAAACCAACGTTACCGCAATAAAAAATTTTTTTAATTAAAAAAAAATTAACAATAAAAATAATAATAATGATCAATCTCCAAACATTCATTCTTTTTAATTACTGTTGTTGCTGTGGTTGCACATTATATGTACATTTCTATGTCTAATACACATCACACTAGGATCTTGAAAAACACATGCACATGGAGTCTAATGAAAAAACTGTACTGGAAAGCATTAAGTGACTTTCCAGAAGCTGCAGGTGGGTCTGTAGGACAGTCTCATATCTAAATTACTGATTTTCCAGCCTATGCACAAATCAGCCTCATCCTACAGAGGTTCCTACAGAGATTCCTCTTATCATGTTAGGCCACATAAAATGGGGTCATTTTTGAAAGAGTTTTGCTGATAAAATGTCAAGATCAAGAATCTAATGATTTTAAATAACTCTAAAATATTTCTCAAATTTTGGACAGGACTCATTTCAAGAGTTTTACAAACAATTCTGACAATAGGCCAGGCTTTGTCCTTATGCTACAACATGAACCTAGACAGAAAGACCAGAAATAGAAACCCCATTGGAAAACCAGATTATGCAAACATGGAGAACTTCAAGAGTTCCAGAAAAGAATTCCTGAAAAAAGATAAGTTGGGAGATGTTTGAAGGGCATTAGAACCGAGGCTGATCTGAGCCACTGGGGCAGAATCCATGAATAAACGTAAGAGGATGAGCCGGAACTTGGGGATGGGGACGGAGTGGGGTACAAAGGAAATAATTATTAATATACGTAAGAATGTTCCAGTTGAAAAAACATTCTGATCTTCAAGACTCTGGAAAACAAGCATATTTTTAGCCGTATTTCACAGAAAAGAGAATATGTGTTAAAATATATTTATTTTTTTAAGCTGTTCACTAAAACGTTTATCCTTCAATTTTTATCAGCACTAACATGGGTAAGAGTCACTGAACTACAAAAGGCTAGATTCCAAGCATCAAATGCTTAGTATCCTATTTTTATGCACACATTTTTTTGTCCTAATTTCTAAGTATAGTTGAGAAATTTACTTTAATTATCTCTGTTCTCCTGTCTGTTGTTCTCAGCCCCACGCTACTCTGTGGTGTGAAATTGATAATGAGAAGAAAGCTGATAAAACATGTGGGAACTGAGGCTGAAATCAAGTGCGAGACATTGAACTATTTTTGCAAATAAAATAATATAAATTTTTAGAGAAGTGAGGTTTGTTTTATGTTTAAGATGTTTTAAAAACTCATTTCTGTTCATGCTAGAATGAAAACATAGAATGAAATCAAGACGACAGAGTCAAAGCTGAACCAACAGTGTTGCAATTCCCTGAGTCAATAAATAAGACATCTTGGCGCCCGACCAGGTATACCATGGCAGATCATGCCTAGAATGGCCTGGAAAGAAGTGCTCTTTTATAAAAATTCAAAACAAAATCTTCTAGACTATTTAACCCAAAAATAAGCATCATCTTTATGCCTAGTTCGTCATTTCTCATTGGGCACAATTTTTTCAGCTTTTGTTTAAATCCAGACCTTAGACATTGGTGAAGCTAAGGGCTGGATTCTACCCATGAAGCATGTGATAAAAACCTCTCTTAGAAGAGGAGATACAGTTCACATAAACTTATTCTGGAGTCCTCCAGAGTCTGCTACAAGGAACAATTCCAAATAAGTGCATGGCAGGATCATTTTGTTAATATTAACATATCTTCCCAAGTGTATTCCCCCATCTGACCTTCAGACACCCCATACCTCACGCACTTTCAAGCAGTTAGGCTACTTCTGCATGACTGTCTTAGTCCTTCCAGGCTGCTATAACAGAATACCATAGACTGAGGCACTTACAAACAACAGAAATCTGTTTTTCACAGCTCTGAAGGCTGGGAACTCCAAGGCAAGGCACCAGCAGATTCGGTGTCTGGGGAGAGCCTACTTCCTGGTTCACAGACAGCTGTCTTCTCACTGTAATCTTTCACGATAGAAGGGGTGAGGGAGCTCTCTGGCCTCTCTTTTATAAAGGCGATAATCGCATTCACGGGAGCTCCACCCTATGACCTAATCTCTTCCCAAAAGCCCCTCCTCCCAATATCATCACAGTGGGGCTTAGGATTTCAACACATGCATTTCGGGGGACATAAACACTCAGTCCACTGCAACGATTGTCTGGGAAGAGGAGTATGTCAAAGCAAAAAGTCTGAATGAGTCTCCTTGACTTTAACTTCTAAAACGAAAATGAAGAGAACATGAGACTTCAGCCAAACTTTTGAAAAAAAGCAAAGATTAGAGAGAGTGAAACTTGCCTTTGAGTTCCCACAATGTTTTCTCAGGCTGGGAAGGGAATTGGGAGAAAGCAAGGGAAAGAGAGGTAACGGAAATGAATATACTTGAGAGACTAAGGACGGAGGAATCACTAAGACAAAGGGCTACTCAGAAAGGCATATTCAAGCAACCAGGAGCTGTGCAGGACAAGTTGATCATCATATTCATGCTTCCAGGCGCTACTCAATGTGTGTGAATGAACAAATAACCAACCTTCTTACTGGCTTTCTAGTGGGACTTCCCTCTAGTAAGAGCCAGTACTTCAGAAGATCACTGGTAGGACTAACAGCCTCCATGTCCTGAGAATTTGCCCAGTTCCCATCTAACTTATTCCATATGGACTAAGTGCTAAATGTATGCTTTGCTACATACCAGAACAGAGTACATCAGAGAGAAAGAAGGAGGGTGGTGTCCTAGACACAAAGTCATCTGGTGAGGGGATGGTTATGAAAGTTCCATGAGATACTTAGCTCGTGGGAGCAGGGTCTAGAAAGAGTAAGTTCCATTCTCCTCAAACTAGGATCCCTACCAACACAACTCTTCCTCTCCAGCCACTTCCTATCCTCTCCCCTCTCTGCCCTTGCTCACTTGTGCCAAGAAAAAACGTTACAACAACAAACATTTATCATGCTTTAGAGTGTACAAAAGGCTTTCTCATACATAACTTCATTCATCTTTACAACAATATCTGCAAGATAGGCAAATCAAGTCCCATTGTTATTCCCAATTTACAGATGAGTGAAACTGAGGCTCTGAGAGGTTATGTAATTTATTCAAGAGCACACAGGCACTAGAAGGTGACTGAATCTGGACCCACCTGATCCCAGCGTGCCCATCCTTGTGGTTCCATTGTTCCTTCATCATCACTTTGGCTCTGCTCCAAAGTGGCACAGGCTGTCCCCCATGGTTTAAGTGGCACTGAAAGACCTTCTCTCCCAAAATGTTTCTTCCCAGACCTTCTTCAGTTCCTGAATACTCTGCCTTAGAGACGTTCCTCTAGGATTAGGCAAAGTCTCCACGAGCCCCTTAGTAAAATGAGACCACGCATTAACCCATTCATTCACCCAGGCTTCCCTTAACTGAGACTTCTTCAGGACAGGACTGTTGCTTAAGAAAACTAAAAGAATAAACAAGCAAAGTGACTAGTATGGAGTAGAGGCTCAGTAAGTATTTGGAGTTTATTTCTAATTAAAAAAATTTTCAGGAACTTTTTGATCTCATGACAGAATCCCTTTGCTTTCCAAATAAATACATAACATAGTCATGAATAATAAAACTTCTTGTAACTCCAATGGTAAAATAAAATCTCTGAAAAAATTTTTAAATATCAACAAGGCTGAGTCTTTCCAAACATAATGAGCACCTGCCATCAGTATCCTCAAGGGAATTTGGTTGCCTTAACTCTGCTCTCAGGAGTAAAATATTAAAAATTATTTTCAGCGAAATTACTGAATTTATCAGGTCCTCTAGCTCTGTGGCATATAAGCATAAAGAATAATACACTCTGGGAATATGTAAAAACATGGATTAATATTGAATGAACAGCAAAGGGTAAACAGGACTTTCTGCTCTGCTCCCCCTGAAGACAAACACAGTCAGCCGAGAAGCAGGCGTGAATCAAACTGGCGAATGCACGCATTGGTTACTGCAGTACCAACAGGGCTTTTAAAATGTCAAAAGAAAAGTATACTTTAATAAAAATACATAAAAACTGTGCTGAAAAATTAATGTAGCACACTGTGTGCAAATAAACCCCTATATGAATGGAAAGTTGGGATTAACTTCATGCATCAGTAGACTTCAGGTGACGAATCGCTGGTGACAATTTCTGTCCCCCTTTCAAATACGATTAGAGGTCTTTGGGGGATAGTCAATGAAAATTGCGGGTCAAAAATTTTTACTCACACAACTTGGATATGCAGAGAAAATGTTCTCTTGTTGTTTATGGTTTTCCACATGAGCCCCCACTCTCTGTTTAGTGGGAGGATTTTTAAATGACTTTCTCACCCAGTTTAAACCTAGTCTGATTTGGTAACTTACATAGCCCCTTCAGGCAATATTCTCCCTAGGAGTGGGGAGGGAAGCCCAGTCTCAGGTTTCCTCTGCCTTCCCCGACTCAGCTCTGAAAGAAGGTAGTTGGGAGTATGGGTGGGGAGAGAAAGAGAAGAGCATGAAATGAGGAGACAGTGACCTTGAGCATGATGTTCTGGTCTCCTTGATAATGTTGTCTTACCAATCTGGCTGCTGCCTGTCTTGGCATTCACGATTCGAGTCTGTAACTGGCTCATTCTCCCAATCTGGTCACAGCCCAGTTCACTCTCTCACCAATTCAGTCTCATTTCGGCACCTACTGACTCCAAAATCCTTGAGGTTTCTTGCTAGCCTCTGCTGTTAAGACTTCCCTATGCCTTGGCAGACCCCAAGGCTGACTCAGTACCCAATCCCCTTGAGAATTGAGAGTGCCTCAGGAAAGCTAACCCTCGGGGCTTCCAGCTCCCTGACAACACTGCACAGACAAAGAAATGAAGGCGTGTTTGGTGTAGGAAAAGGTGGAGAAGATCTCTCTTCATCGAGCCCAGAAGGGAGTTGGGGCCTACAGCCTTCTTCTTTACCTCCCTCACTACCTGCATCCTGGATCCAGCCCCACGGTCCAGAGAGGGAAGGCACACATCCTTCTACTGTGCTCCTTCCTTCTCTTCCTCTCTGGCCCCTTCCCATTATCCTCCTCCAGGGTCAGGAAGAGGTGGGCTTTGTTTTTCCTTTTCCAACATTTTCCCACATCTCCATCAGGTGCATGGCTTTGCTGTCATGGAGGGAAGGGTACCTTCTCTGCTTTGGGATCCTCCAGGTTTAGTACCTGATGTGTTAGAGAAGAAAAATAAAGGGATATGGAAAAATATCTCTCAGGATCATAGCCTGGTTTATAATGCTTTCATTTTGGTTTAACCCTGTTTTTCACGTCAGAAGTTAGGTGTAGTTCTGTTTTTCCCTTCATCATTTTTTATGATAAATTCTCTTTCCCCATGAGGCAGACAGCTGTCTCAGGTTTCCTGAGGCAAAAGCATGGACTCTAAAAGGTAAAGACACATCAGTAATTTCCAAAATCCTACCACTCATCTCCATGCCCCTATATGTATGGTAGGCTATTCCCACATGTGAACATTACGTGTTTAAATCAACGTCAATGGATGTGCAAAGACATCGTTTCACATCAACATTCTGCTACAGAGCATTTATTGAAACACGTTTCTTTCTGTCGTTCTTTGTTTCTAACGTGACATCTACTGGAGATTATTTTGTAGACCATCGTTTCTGTGGCATTACCATTAAGAAAGATAAGTTCCTAACTTTGATAAATGTGATAAAGCTGTGTGTTAACAAACACTTGTTTTACAGATGACTGGAGTAAATGGAAATATTTTTCCTGATAAAGGAAATGTTGGGGGTGGGAAGAGTGTGTATGGGGGAGCAACATAGCTGCCTTCAAATGTACAAGTGGTCTACAAGTGGAAACCAAGTTTGTTCCACATGACTCCAAGGGGCAAAATTAAGATTGAAGAAAAAGTAAATGGGAAATACAGTTTGGCTTAGCTTTCTAACAATACAGGCTCTCTAAATATGGAGTAGGTTGATGCCTTGAGATTCAATTGTCACATCATAACTGGCATTATTCAACCAGGACCAGGTGACCAGGTAGCAAGGGCGTCGTGTCCATTATTTAAGGATGTTAAGCTTGTTTCCAACTCCCTGAGCTTCTATGCCTTTAGAATCTTCAAAGCTGAGAGTCATGGAAGTTAAACTCCTTGAGAAAAGAAAAAGAACCATAGGAACGTGAATGGTGCTGGGAGGAAAATTGGCCATGCCATTCTTTGATGATAATCCCTGAGCCATTAAATAGGAAAAAGTCCAAATTACTTATTTATGATAGAATCAGAGTTTAAATTACAGATTATGACAAAAATGGTGAAAGTAAGGCAATAGAGGAGAAAATAGAAAGTTTTGGCAAAGGACTTCAAAGAATTAGAAGAAATTGAAGACCACTGATTTCCTGTTTGGGGAAACCAGAGAGAAAAGCATCATTAATAGGAATTCTATAAACAGGAAAAGAAAAGATACAAGCTTTAAAGCTAAAATGGTGTTGTTGTTGATGTTAAATTTAAGACGATACCATTTTTGGAGATTTAAATTATTTTAGTGAGTCTCAAGCAACCTCAGATTATATCTTTATTGATGCTTTCCTTTCCTTCTTTAGTGTTCTGCCAAGAGTGATAACAGTAAACAGGACAGATGGATAACTGGTAACTGTTAACATGTAGCTAAGTAATAACAGGAAGACAGGTGTTGGAAGGAAGGGTGGAAGGGGAGAAGAATTTGAAGGATGCAGATAGGAGGCTGCATCACTGGTCATCTTGGTCATAATGTCATGATTCACAAGCCCATACTTGTCAGGGAGAGGGCAGGGAGGGGGTCTCCAATGCTTGGAAAGTCACTGGGATTGGCCAGTGCAGGATAAAGCAGAGATGTCCTTGGGAGCAGAAGTGAGGAGAAAGGAGGCACATAGGCGTTGAGTGAGTACTAGGTGCCAGCCACCAGGATAAGCACTTTTTATACAGTTAACTCATTAATTCTTCACTTCTACCCTAATAGGAATGTATTAATGTTCTCTTTTTGTAATTAACGAAAATGAAACTGAGACCCAAAAAGTTGACATATCCCAAGTCACACAGCCAATAATTGGTTGCTGAGATTTTAAATCCCAAAGCTCATGGTCTTTCCACTACATCATACTAGTAAAATGTGCTCAGGCATGAGAAGATAAAGACAAGTGACAAGTGACGCCAGAGACAGGAGCCAGGTGGCAAAAATAAATCAAGCAGAAATGGATAAAAACAATGAGGCAGATGGGGGGAGGTGTTTGAGGAATGCACGGGGAGGGCTGGGGTGTCTAAGATTCCCAGGCAGACAGTCCATTTAAACCAAGCCGGAAACCCAGGACCCGGAGTGATATCAAACACAGAGGAGGGTGGGGGCGTTCTTAAAAAAGAATCCCAGAAAAAATGCTCCTAAACATTTGGGTACTCTTACTATAATCTCGTCTTTGTTCTTCATTCTTCTTTGTTCAGGGTTTCCATCCCCCAAGCTGAGGGGAAGAAGGAACTTTTGGCTTCCTCATATCATTCTTCCTTCTTATTTCATCAATACGATATCCCATGATTATGGGCCATCTGAGGTCAAGCTGCATCAAGAGGTAAGAACTGAAATGAAAAGACTCAAGGGGGATTTTAGAAAGGAGTCACCACCCTGTTTCTCATTCTCAAATCTTTTGGGATTTATTTTTCCATAGAATCCATGAATTTCCTCACAGTGAGTGATCCACAAGTCAGCAGTATCATCTGAACAAGAATAAAGAGAGAAAGAAGACAAAATGAGCAAGCGGATTGAGTCTGCCATCTTAGTGACTGCAGCGTGTGTGGTCAGATTTAGTCATTTTTATCAACTGGAAGCCCTTTTTGCCTTTGGACAAAAGCCCAACTTTAGCAATTTTCCAAGGGAAAGCGTAAAAATTGGCTTAAAACTAAACAAGTCAAGGGATACTATGTAAGATGCTCTCAAAGAACACAGTAATTATCACAAATATACTATAATTACGTTCTCAGAAATAGGCCTATTCAAAGAAGTCATTCATTTATGCGATTATGCATGACAGCTAAATGAAGTAGGCAATAGCAAGGTTTGTCAATATGCAAATGCTATTTCTACCAGGCCATTCGGATGTAATTTATCAAGTGCAATTAAACATCTCAAAGGAAACAGACTTCTCTTATTTCCCTAACACATAGCAAACATCTCTATTTCCATACATGTGAAATAGTCTCTTCACTTATTGCAATACATTGCTCCCAAGAAGTAGACTCATTTTCTTTGGATTTTGTTTTTAAGGGTGAAATTTTTCTTAGTCACTATATCTTACTAGAATCTTGGTAAAACTCATTTAAAAGATTTGTATTACTGGGAGAATAACATCACCTATTAGAAACTGCTTTGCTTGTCCAGGGAGTTAAAATGTGGTACATTCTCAGACATGCAATGAACATCCCCGTTGACCTTTTCAAGGCCAAACTAACCCCTGTGAAAACATCTAGGTGCTCAAGTATATACAAATACACACACACATACACTCTCTCTCGCTCTCTCTCTCTCTCTCTCAGGAAATCCAGAGTATCTTTTATGAGCTGTCCATTATAATTTCATGGCATATGGTTGATTTATAAAGTTACCATTGTTTAAGACCTCTTACAGACATCATTCTAAGCTCAGGATACAGGCCATGTGGCATATTTGTGCTGATTTTGCCTCTGCTGGCTTTTCACAAGTGGCTCCATCAAGGGGTGATGTGTGACTTCCAAATTGATTGTCATTTCCACCAGGATGAAAAGGAGCTGTGTAACCATGACAGCACTGGGAGCTCATGATTTTTGCACTACTGACTAAAGAAAAATCTTCTGTTTCCAATAAAATCATTTCCTGGTTTGTCCTGCATTCAATTAATAATCTCACTCGGGGTGGGCCGAGCCAGAGAGCGCTCAGCGTGCCCAAGCATGCTCAGCGTTTCAAAGCGAAGGGAAGAAAGAAAACTGGCGCTCGGGCCTTGGCAACCTGCACATCCTGCTCCCACAGAAAGGCAGGGACCGCGCAGTCAGCACTCCCCGCATGAGACCCCCAAAGCATGAAAATGGGGACGACTGCGCAGGTCCGGGAATGGGAGAATGGAATCTCTGAAACTGTACGGCCTCATAGAGTGGCTGCTTCTCAATGAGCACAAAAGAAAATTTCATATCAGGGACATAGACTCCGCCCTCCCAGATTTCCAGGCTCAATTTGAAGCATGTACAGGGCCACACAAAAGGAAAGCTCATTGAAAAAGAAAGAAAACCTGAAGAATCTTAAAGAATTAACTCCCTCAAGCTAATGAGGGGCCTGGCACCTTCCGGAAACCCAATTTGCCTGGAATTGGGGGTATTACTCAAAGACAGGAACTACAGCTGCTTAGTACCCATTAACATGCCATAGCAAATTGAAAAGTGCTGGTCGGGTTCAGAAACTACTGAGAGCAACTTCCGTTGCGTTATCCATTATGCCTGTCTGTGTCTGCCTCTCCATTTAATTCAGGAAGTATTTATGGAACACCTTCTACTTCCATGTCTCTGAGCTAGACATTATGAGAACACCCCAGAGAGATAAAATCTCATCTCTGGCTTCAAAGAGTAGATTGCCTGGTAGGAGAGCCAATTCCATAAAGAACTTGTCTAACACAGTCTAGTAGGGGAGTGGTATATTTTTGTAAACATTTATGGTACAATAAGGAGCAGATTGATTGCTTGGGAAAGGCAATAGACTCACAAGACATTGGATTCTTGGCTTCATCACAGCTCAATCTCTGATGTATTATTTAGGAAAAATCTCTAATAGCTCTAGATTCTGTTTCTTTTCTCTAAAATGGAAATGATCATGCCCACATTCCCCTTCCGACAGTTGTCTTTGGGATCAAATGAAATGTACTGACAGAGCCTTTAGATACTGGACAGGATTCACAGGTCTAATAGCTAATAAGAGCTAATATTAATTAAGTAGTCTGTGCCAAGCACTGGGCTAAGTAATTTAAATATTTTCTGTTTCAATCGTCATAGCAACCCTAGAATGTTCGGGAACATGCCTGAGATCACAGACTGACTCCTAACCACACTGTAATCCTGTCGATCCTTCTTTTTTCATCAGTAAAATAAAAATAGTCTCAGTGAAATTTTCTTTTTTTTAAGTTGTGGTAACATATAACATGAGGTCTGCTCTCCTAACAAACTCTTAAGTGCACAATGCAGTATTGCTCACTATAGACACATGCTGTTCAGCAAATCTCTAGAACTTATTCACCTTTCCTAACTGAAATTTTATCCCCATTGAACTGCAACTTCCCGTCTCCTCCTTCCCCAGATCCTGGCAACCACTATTATACTTTCTGCTTCTATGATTTTGACTGTTTTCCTCAAATAAGCAGAATCATGGAGTATTTGTCCTGTGACTGGCTTATTTCACTTAGCATAATAGCCTCCAGGTTCATAAATGTTGTCACATATGGCAGGATTTCCTTCTGTTTTAAGACTGAGTAATATTTCACTGTGTGTATATAGCATATTTTCAATGAAATTTCTCAGACCAAACAATACTAAATGCTACAATACAGGTATAAACTGCTTCAGGAGCACAGAGGAGAAGTCGTTAGTCCTTATGGGTTGATGTGGCATAAACCCCAACTCATTATCCAACTCTTGGTGTGCCTGCTTCATCAGATCATCCTTTTGCATTTTTATTAACACTCTTAGTCCTACTGGCAAACTAGGCTTATTCATTTTTTTCATCTTCCCAAGATCGTTACAAATGTTTGTAGAAATGATTGGATGAATGAGTGAATAGATCTTATCTGATAGCCTGGGCCAATTTTGGTCTTCGTTATCTTTCTTCTGCCCATCATTTCTTCTGATCACTTCTGAGCACCATCCCAAACTTCTGGATCAGGTTAAGTCCCCTTGCTACATATCCTCATAATTTCTTGTACATTATTATGATTGCCTACAGGTGTCTGCCTTCCCCACCACATTTTAAGTTTACTGAGATAAACACCCACTGTCTTATTTACCACTGTGGCTCCGATGCCTAGCTCATAGCAGGTGATCATTAAATATTTAAGAAACAATGAAAAGCTGAATGAATTTTCTAAAGCCTGCATTTTTAAATGACCTAGATTTTGGCTATCCAAAAATAGATTTTGCTCCCAAAAAACCTTACTGACCTGGTATTGCTGCTCTATTTAAGATAAAACACTCAGTGTACTTGACGGAATATTTGTAAATATCAAAAAACTAGATATGCATTAACCTTTTAAGATATATTTTCATAAGATGACAGACAGACATACACAAACACACACACCCATACACACAAGGCTGATAAAAGGAAGGTTTCTAAAAACTACCTGAGAGCTGCATCCTAAAGATGAATCCTATTTAGTCCAAACATCTACAGATCTTATTTTAATATCCAGGTCCTAGGTACCTTAAGAAACACTACAAGAATCTAAAGCATCAACAAGAGTAAACAAAATTCAGTCTTGCTTACTAATGCAGGAGAAAAGAAAGAGACATTTCAGAAATATTTTTAAAAATGTTAATGTTTTCTAGTTACCCTTGAGTTAAACAGAATGAATCTGAATATACTACAGAATTTCCCAAGCTCCCTGCTTTTGCTAGAGAAAGCCAAATGGCATTAAATATTTGAATCATACAATCAATGGCCCTTTGTCTCATTCCCTGCCTACTACATCATTCAAGGTCCAACAAGGTAAACAGAAGACACTACAAGGTATTTGAGACACAAGGAATTTAATGCAGAGAATTGGTTACACAAGGGACGGAATTGCTGAGACGTCAAGAAGGAATTGGTGAGGCAAATTCAGGGAGTAGCAACAGCAGGAAGCTACAAACACCACTGGGATGGAGGGACGAAGGGAAGAGGGGGTGTTACTGGAGCCTGGGGGCGCAGGGCACTTGATGGAAGGTGGAACCAGGCAGAGACTCAGTCACCACTAAAGAAGCCACCTACAGCAGAGATAGACAGGGAACCATACCCCAGCTTTTCGTCCCCTGCTGTCCTCTAATCTGAGGAGCACAGTTTGCAGGAGTCAGCTCCCTTGTGATACAGAGAAGAGGAAGGAAAGGCCAAGGAATAGTGTAAGGATGCACAGGCTCAGCACCAGGGCAGCATCCTTACCTACCAGCCTACTAGGGATCTGCCCACCCCTGTGGTTTCAGGGTCACAGAAGCAAATATCTGCTGCTTTCTCATTGGATATTAATAAATTGACATCATTCTGATTTGAAATATTTTATTGTTGCTAAAAAACCTCTTCCAAAGCTGTTGTTCTTAAGTCCTATTGTTTTATATTCATTTCACATTTATAGTTTCTGTTTCAAAAGATAATATTAGCCCGTACATTATTATTATGTAAAAGACATGATATAAAAAAATAACTGTTCAGTCTTAAGGATTATTCATAATAATAGGTAAGGAATTTGGTATTACTTGCAATTTTGCTTCTTCAAAGTGAGAAGTGTGGGTAAAACCGAGATCTAAGGGAGGAATAAATAAAGGTGACGCATAAAAAATCCAAGGGCTAGAATGCTAAAAAATTTCTGATGCCAAATAAGAATCGTTTTGGAAAACAAAATCTTTTTAAAAGCATGGCTACGGTCACCATTGTCAAAAAAGTCTTACAGGAATTTAAATCACTTGATTATTCAGAAAAATATATCATGGACTATGCACCATGCGCAAGACCTGCCCAGCTCACATTAAATATTCATTTTGATTGACCAGCTCAATCACTCCACAATAAAGCCTTGACTTGCTCAGGCCCGTGTATCCTTGGTCCGTGACCTCATCAGGTCTCACAAACCAAATAACTGCCAGGTGTAGCCGTCATCATCTACCTGTGGTAAATCAGGGTACAGGAAATTGATTCTAAAGTACCTGTGAGACAACCAGATGGGTTTGAGTGCTTTGTCCTTCCCCGCTACAGCTGATCCTTCCAATCTCAGAGGCCATTTTCTTTTCAAAACCTCGGAGAGCGTGTGTTGTCATTAAAATCACCAGGCAGCCCCGTAGGCATGCCTAGGCAAGCTCGGTCTTGTGAGGCGTGTGAAATTCAGCATTCTAAACCACTAGTGCCCATTAAGGGTCCTCTGGCAATTTCCATATGATTAAGATGGCCAAACTGCAACCAGGGAAATTACATTCTTCCTCCTCCCACCCCACTGTGGTTTTAAATGCATTAGATCTTTTCTGCTTTTCCTGCTTTAAAAAGGTAAATTAAGCAGTGCAGTTGTACACTACTAACCAGCTACTGTGTTCCTTCCCAGGAGGCAGAGTTGAGGGGAAAGAGTCTCATCAATTCAGCACGATCCTTAGATATTATCTCTTCCTAATTTCAGCAAACCGAGGAGCAATGTTGACCTCCTCAAGAATATTTAACCCACTCCCTCAGAAACTTTGAATGCTTAGATGAGGTCAGGGACGATTTGCTTTTTTTTCTAAAATGTCCTAAAATGCCCCAATAATATAATCTCATTATTTAATAAACTTTTAAACAGAAGCAAAGGTGAGGAATGGACACTATGGAATGGGAAAGTACTCAAGTATAATGAAATGTCAACTAGAGATCAGTTTTAAAAAGCCAACCAGAGCAGATGAGAGAGAGAAAACAGAGCTGGGAGGAAGAATGAATTTTTTCACCCTAGAAGTAAATATAGATGTGCCTATCAGAAGCCTTTATTTCTAGTAGTTTTAGAATAATCCCTAAAAATTTCAGCAAAACTGCTCCCATTTTCCTACTTTGGAAAAAAGCCCAAATTTGTACTTATTCCATGGTTGCTGTTTGATATCTTAATTGTGGTATCAAGCAACATTTTATTGCTTGAAATTAAGGTAGTTTCAAGAGAGTCAAAGCGGGGTATAAAATTGAGAAAATCTCAGATCTTATATCTTTTCGTTTCCTATACCACCTCAAATGTTATTGACCAACAATACTTTGCCCTAACTTCTCAATTAGAAATGTCCCAAATTGCATCATGTTATATTCTTTCCTATTTTAAGTGTCAATTCTAACATTCTGACTGAGTTATATATAATACATCTATAACTATGTTCCTATACGCATACACATTTTTAAATATTATGATGCTGCTGTCCCTTATAGAAACCAAGCCATAGCACAATATAGACTTATTTTTCATTGTTTAAAAGCTAAACGTTCCTCTTCTCCTTAGGATGTAGAAAGCCACAAGACAACATCACTCTCACCCTAAAACATAGCAGAGCTGAGTAATCAGCAAGATTGTAACTTCCTAACCCCAACAGATAGTTGAGGTTGAAAGGCAGGGGAACAAATTGCCAGGTGAAAAATAGCTCCTGCTTCTAGCCAAGAAAGAGTAACAGGATCCAGATTTATGCTCCCACCTGAAACAACTAAAACTGCCGAGGAAATGTATGAAACAATGGTTTTCAGACATTGTGCAATAGACAGCACAGGAGAGAGACCCAGGAGAAAAGGAAAACAAGCAGAGTGAACCCTATAATTTTTCTAGCTGCTGCCTGGAGAGAGTTTCCAGGCCACAGTGCAGAGAGACGGTACCCTAGTGGAGCGGAGCCTCCTGCCAGAGTTAAGGAGACAAAGTTGGGAAAGCCTAACGGGGCTAGAGTCACAGGGCACAGTCCAGATAGAAGAGAGTTGCCCAGAGAAGGAGTTCCAGAAATCTGCAGAGGGACCCCCTCAGTCTTCAGCTGAGCATCAGTCAGTCCATCCATGTGAGGAAACAGCTGAAGGCCAAGAAAGAAGCAGCCAAAAGAACTGGAGGGACCAAGGCCCACACTCAGGCTTTGTGTCAGAAGGACTTCATCTTCCCACCAGCCAATGTAGGACACTGGGCACTGTTCTCTGCAGGTTGTCGCCTCCATAGTATGACAAAATTACCCCTAAAGGCTGTTCTGGTCTAGCCTAAGAAAACTTAAAAGCAAATCTAGAAAGAACCAAACTGTTTCCAGGTAACTTAATGGCACCTCAGAATAAATTTCAAGAATATATACAGGAATAATAACATAATAAAATATCCAACACCCAAGAAGAATTATTCACAATTTCTGGCATTCAGTTAAAAACTACTCATCAGGCATTGAAGCAGGAAAATATGACCCATAATAAAGAGAAAAATGATCAATAGAAATGACACAAATGAAAAAATTTGTAAATGTGGATGTTAAAGTAGATATAACTATATTCAGTATGCCTCAGAAGATTGAAGAAAATTTTTGTATGTTAAGTAAGCACAAAAGACATAAAACAATGAATTGAACTTCTAGTGAAGAATATTTCAATTTCTGAGATGAAAAATACACTGAATGGAATTAACAGCAAAAAGGACACTGAAGGAAAGATTAGAGAACTTGAAGATACGGCAGTAGAAACTATCCCAATAAAACACAGAGGGAGAAAAGACTAAAAAATAAATAAATAAGGAACAAGACATCTGTGGTTTATGGGACAACTTCAAGTACCCTAAAATATGTGTATAATTGGAATCTCAAAGGACTGGAAATAAGGAGATGGAAAGAAAAATATTTGAAGAAATAATGCTAAAAATGTTCACATTTGATAAAAATTAAACACTGAAGACAAAAACATGAAGAAAACTCATTAATTGTTCTGATAGGGGCTGTTATTGTTGGCATCCTGTGGTCTCCCACTTCTGCTTAAGGGAAGACAAAACTATTTTGCATGTTTTTCACAAACTTAATAAAACTAGACCCTGATCCCACATCAACAAAATACTGTTACTGAAGTCATTACTATTTCTTATGTGGACATAAGGCCTGCACTTACCTGACACACACACACTAATCTGAGCTCTCCAGCACGAGTGATGATAAAAATTGCTTCCAGGGCCAGCCCCATGGCCAAGGGGTTAAGTTCGCACTCTCTGCTTCGGCAGCCCAGGGTTTCGCTGGTTTTGATCCCAGGTGTGGGCATGGCGCAGCTCATCAGGTCATGTTGAGGTGGCATCCCACATAGCACAACCAGAGGCATCACGACTAGAATATACAACTATGTACCGGGGGGCTTTGGGGAGAAGAAAAAAAAATAAAATTGGCAAGAGATGTTAGCACAGGTGCCAGTCTTTAAAAAATAAAATTTCTTCCCCTTGGACTTCCTGTTGGCCAGTCTAGGTATATGCAATAGCCAATACCTCTGGCTGCACTTGGATTAATGGCATATTTGACTGGCACAGTTCTGGATATGGAGGCTGGCTACATCCATCCTACAAGTAGGCCTGGTCATTATGCTAGGAATCATAGTCATTATCACTCTCATTTGATGTTGCCTAAGACAAACGAACAGATTTGGTCCAAGCAACTATTGTATTTTATTGGGATAAGTATAAGCAATCAGGAACCAAATAGATAATCCACAAATAGAACCACACATGTCAATTGTTTTTTGACAAATGTGGTCAAGTATTTCAATGGAAAATGATTCTCTTTTCAATGAACAAGTGACATCTAAGCGCAACAAAGAAAAAAATGGAACCTCATCCTTCACCTCAGACTATATACAAAAATAAACTCAAGAGTAAACCTTAATGCTATAAAGCTTCTAGAATGAAACATAGTAATACATCTTTGCAACCTTGGGCTAAGTAAACATTTCTTAAGAAACCAAAAGCACAAGCCATGAAAGGAAAAAATGGATGAGTTTTGGACTTCATCAAAATTAAAAATTTTACTCCTCAAAAGATAGTCAAGAAAATAAAAAGAAAAGCCATAATGTAGAAGAAAATATTTTCAAAACATATATCTCATAAAGGACTGTGTCCAGAATATATAAAGAAAACTTACAAAACAATAATAAAAGAAGCAATCCAAGGGGCCAGCCCCAGTGACCTAGTGGTTAAGGTTGGTGCACTCCACTTGAGTGGCCCAGGTCCAGTTCCCTACACCACACATCTGCTAGTGGCCATGCTGTGGTGGCAGCTCACATACAAAAAGAGGAAGATTGGAAAAAGATTTTAGCTCAGGGCAAATCTTCTTCAGCAAAAAGAAAAAGAAGAAGCCATCCAATTAAAATATGTGCAAAAGAGTTTGACACTTTACCAAAAAAGAAATAAGGATAAAAAATAAACACATAAAAAGATAATTGCCATCATTAGTCATTAGAGAAGTGCCTAAGTGGCACAATGAAAGCCAAAAATTTAAGATCCTGACAATATTAAGTGCTAGGGAGGATGCACAAGAATTTTCAAACATTGTTAATTGTTATGCAAAGGAGAATAGCCTGTTTGGAATACATGTCCACACAGAGAGTTGTACTCAGATATTAATAGCAGCTTTATTCATGACAGCTGGAAACTAGAAACAATCCAAGTATCTGTCAACAGGTCAATAAAGAATATTTAGTAAATCTATGCAATGGACTACTACACAACAGTGAAAAGGGGGGGGGACACTGATATATGTCACGTGGAAAAATCTGAAAATCATTCTGCTGAATGAAAGAAACTAGACAAAGAAGAACTCATACTGTATTGCTTTACGTTTACATAACATTCTAGAAAGTTGAAAACTAATATAGAATGACAAAAAAATAGACCGTTGTTTGCCTGAGGTCAGGGACAAATGGAAAGATGGACTGCAAAGGGGCATGGAAATCTTCTGGCGTGATGGAAATGTTCTGTGTTGTAATAGCAAGCAATGATTTCCTAGGTATGTACGTCTGTAAAAACTCATCAAATTGTAAACTTTGAGTATATTTATTTTATATATATTGTACCTCAATAAAAATGATTTTTTTAAAAAAACCTAATTGTAATGGGAGACTTAAGTAAAATGTGATCAACTCAAGTTCTCCCAAAAAGTTTCTGAGCTTTCAACCCAATTGGATTGATCTTTCCTCAGTCACAGGGTCAACACACAA